TGGAATTTGATTCAAGATTGAGAACCTTATATCCCTTCACACCCGTTGGGTAACCAATGAAAACATGAGGTGTTGCTCTAGGAGAAAACTTGTGCCTTGTATGTGTATGAGTGGTAACATAGCATAGACACCCGAAAACCCTCAAATGAGAATAAGAGGGTGTTTGTTTTGTGAGACACTCAAAAGGGGACTTGTTTTGAAGAATGGGCGTAGGAATCCTATTGACAAGATACACAACAGCCTCAATGCACTCACTCCAATAATCTAATGGAATGTTGGATTGAAACAGAAGAGAGTGTGCCACATTCAAGAGATGTTGATGTTTACGCTCGACAACGGAATTTTGCTGGAGTGTATAGGGACAGGATCGATAGTGTATCAGACCCTTATCGTGAATCAATTTCGAAAAAGAAAATTCAGGTGCATTATCAGAACGAAATGCTTTAACAGAGGCATTGTACTGGAGTGAAACATGATTCAAAAACTGAGGAAAAAACATAGTAGCATCATGTTTACTGCGAAACATATATATCCATGTCACTCTAGTACAATCATCTACTATTGAAAGAAAATAGCGATGACCATGTACAGAAGGAAGGTGAAATGAACCCCAAGTATCCAAATGGACAAGATCAAAGGCATTCGATGATATATTGCCAAGAGAAGGAAAGGGCTGCCTGCGTTGTTTGGCTAAGGGACAAACAGAGCAGTGAGACGAGGATGGAGTACTCGGAATGAACTGGAGCTGAGAGGATTTCCCCAGTGACTGAATACGAAAAGATGAAGGATGACCCAAGGGAGAGTGCCAGAGCTCAGCAGACTCAACAGAAGAGATGGCTGTGCAGAGTGAGGTAGGTAGTGAACGAGAGGACGGATCTAACCCCTGCACATCCAAAAGATAAAAGTTATTTGTTTGCCTACCCTTCCCAATCGTCAAGGCCCGAGTAGGGTCCTTGATTAGGCAAGAATCATGGAAAAAAGAAACAACATAAGAAGCATTTGAGGTTAAAGAGCTAACGCTCAAAAGATTAAAACGAAAAGTAGGAACATACAGAACAGAGCAAAGGACCAACTCAGAAGATAAACGAACAGTGCCAGAAAGAGAAACAGAAATTAATGATCCATTTGGGAGAGTGATCCGAATGGGATCGATGAGTTTGATGGCAGAAAATAACTGCAAGTCACAGCAAATATGATGGCTAGCTCCTGAATCTAATATCCAAATATTGGATGAAAATGGGGTAATGAGATTTGTGGCCGAAAAAACAGAGGGGGAAATAAAATGGGTACCTGGTTGGGAAGAAGATGCTGCAACAACTGAATCAATGGAAGAGGCGCCAAGATTCTTAAGCTCAGTCTGCAGTTGATCGAATAAAACCTGAGCTTGTTCCAGTGTGAACTGCCCTGCTGTAGGAGGAGACGGCGTAACATGCTTATGCTCAGTATGAACCATGTTCACAGGGTTGTGAACGTTATCAGTCCGTGGTTTAGGCAACAGGGGAGGTTTAGAAGAAGGAGAATGTGGTGGTTTGGATGAGGGTGGGTAACCATGCAACTTGTAACAACGAGCAATAGTATGCCCAGTCATACCACAATGAGCACAAACAGGTTTGGGTTTAGGAGAAGAAAAGAATTTGGGGCGAGAAGACTGAGCAGAAGCCTGAAAAACCACAGGGTCAGAGGGCAAGGAATGTCGGTGCTGCTCTTCTTGAGCTACCAGACTATAGGCCTTAGTGATGTTTGGTAAAGGGTCCATCATCAAAATCTGACGTCTAGCAGGGTGGTAATACTCATTCAACTTCATCAGGAACTTAACGACGTTCTTCTTTTCACATAAGGCAATCAATTTAGTATTGACATGGCAAGAACAACCCCCACAAGTGCACACAGGATAAGGTTCATACATATTTAATTCTTCCCATAAGGCTTTCAGTTTGGTATAGAAAACACTGAGACTTAAGGATCCTTGCTGCAGAGACTCTAACTGTTGCTCTAGGTGAAAAACTTTAGGGTCATTTTTCTGCTTGTAACTGGTTTCAAGGATAGTCCAAATTTCACTCGCATCGTCAATGTTCATGACCAGACTGGCAATGTCAGGGGCAAGAGAATTAGTAATTCAGTTCCCAACCAGTGCGTTACAACGCAGCCATGCTCCGAGATCAGGATGATTCTCGGCGGGTTTAGGGATAGTTCCATAAACAAAATCCAGTTTGTTTTTAGCAATCAATCCTTTAATAATAGATCGAGACCAGAGGTTGTAGTTTACCTCACCAGTGAGCTTCTCAGAAACCAAGGAGATGCCGGACGAATCAGCGGCATGGAGGTAAAGCGGATTCGCATAAGGATCAAGAGGAGTTGAAGACGGAGCCGTAGCCTCTGAAGAAGGTGAAGAAGAAGATTCACTAGCCATGACTGAAAAAGAAGAACAAAGAAGGAAAAAAAGGAGAGAGTAGCAACGGAAGAAAATATCACTGCTCTGATACCATAATATCTTGTATCAAGCAAGCGATCAAAAACAAGGGAAATCCCAGAATTCAGAAATTTTATCTATATTCCAATGAATCAATACACTGTATTTATACAGCAAGAGGATTCTAACAAACTCTTACAGACCCAAAACAACGCAAAAAGTGTGAAAAATCTACAGAATAAACCAAGCGAATCTAAGGTCTAAACCGAATTATTGGTACACTTATTATAAACCGAAATAAAATACGTCTTCTCTCATGCTCTGCTTCAAGTGTCCGAGAACCTGGAAGAACAGAGTAACTAGTGAATGGAGATGGTCTTCTGATGGTTTGTGCTATTACAGTCTAATACACGACTGGTTTTTGTAAATTTTGAGAACCTTAAACGTCACGTTTTACCAAAAAAACGCTTCTTCTATGTATATTTTTTTCCCTTTTCCCCCAACAGAAACCTACAATTAACACTACAATGAAACACGAAAAGGGTGACGCAAAAAGTGACGCAAAAATTGCGTCACTAAAAGGGTGACGCAGTAGTGATGATTTGGTGACGCAAATAGTGACGCAACATAAACGTCACCAAATCTCACTATTTAGTGACGATCTGGTGACGAAAAGCCCCGCGTCACCATTTGGTGACGCAGTTATGATGCAAAACTGCGTCGCCAAATGACGCGCGGAAATTTCGTCACCCTTTCGTCACCCTTGCGTCACTATTTGGTGACGTAATTGCGTCATTCACCTTTACTGACGCAATTTCGTCACTATTATTTTGGCGACAAAATTGCGTCATTAATGGTGACGCAATTGCGTCACAATTTTCTTTTTTGGTGACGCAATTGCGTCACTATTTGTTATTTTAGTGACAAAATTGCGTCACTCTATTTTCATTATACCGCACCGCGACCTCATACACTCTTGCACCCGAAGAAAAAACTCAAAAAATGGCGTCGAGTAATAACAATATTTATTACTCAAGAAAATAGATGTACGAAAGAGTAAATCCTTCTACGGGTAATGTATCTACGCATTATGAAGAAGAGTTGACTAATTTTTTGGAGTTTGCAACAAATCAACATATTTTCCTTCAGAGAGGAAAGATATATTGTCCTGCCGAAGATGTAAAAACGAGAGAGAAGAAGTTCCAGAAGTTGTGATGAGACATCTATGGAAAAAAGGTTTTGTCTCTAACTATTATGTCTGGGTTTATCATGGTGAGACGTTTCAAATTTCTGATGAGAATACATCCGTGAGAAATACTGATGTCTATGAGCAGCCAAATTCATATATTGAGATGGTTCAAGATGCATTTCCATCTCAATATAATGATCAGGTTACAGAAGATCCGGTGAATGAGGTATCGAAAAAGTTTTTCATAATGATCAGGTTACAGAAGATCCGATGAATGAGGCATCGAAAAAGTTTTTCGATCTATTAGAGACTGCAAACCAACCTATTATGATGGTTGTAAAGAAGGGCTTTCTCAACTATCGGCTTCTGCTAGATTGATGGGGATGAAGACGAGTTATAATCTTACAGAGAACTGCATGAATGAAGTTTGTCAGATGCTGAATGATTACCTTCCCCAAGGTAATAACGCTCCAGATTCGTATTACGATATGTCTAAACTGATGGGATCGTTGGGAATGGAATCGATAAAAATCGATGTATGTCCTAACAACTGTATGATATTTTGGAAAGAATCTAACCAGTTGGACAACTGTCGATTTTGTGGAGGTGAAATATACAAAGCGAAAAAATCTGGTCAACGAAAAAATCTGGTCAACTCAAAAAATGGTGACGAAATGTAGGCGTCACCAAAGCGTCACTAATTGGTGACGCTTGGTAACGAAATCGCAAATGGTGACGGTGTAATTGGTGACGATTTTTTTGTGTCACTGTTTCGTCACCCTTTCTAAAGGGTGACGCAAAAATGCCCTTTGGTGACGCAAAATTTGCGTCACCATTTCTTTTTTTTTTGTAGTGAAATAAGCTTTAAAACAATGCTTGCAGAGCAAAATTTGGAAAGCATTATAATTAATAGTAGCTTTTACAAGCTTTGTTAGCTTCTTTTCCCCATGAATCAAGCAACGCCCCAAATAAAACTTATATCTTGGTTTATTTATATATGTTGCACATGTACATATTTGAAAATACGTTTATATAAATGAAACGACAAATCTTTTCATTTAAAATAAGGAACCCCAAAATAATTACATTATTGGTGCGTGTGAAGATATTGATTACAAAGAATTGTTTGCAAGAGAGATCGATCAACGTATTAAATAATCAACTATAATTACGTACCAAACTCAAAACAGTTTCCGGTTTAATACAATTTATATTTCACTAAAATAAATATAAATAACCGAACAGGGAAGAATTCGCTGATTTTTTTTTATTTTTTATTTTGTATAGCAACACTTGGAATGAATAGGAAACATATTGCATAACCTAAAACTCAGAATTACAAACATGCATATATAATCTTTTATGTTTTAATAAGAATACATCATTAATCATCCTCTCGTGCTAAACCCTATGTTGTCCGTGTACGGACAAGCCAAGCTGAAGGCTCTTACAGCTTCTCTTGGAACTTGGCAACGACGAAGACGAATCTCGCTCAAACCTAATCATGTTGTTGTTCTGATGAACGCCGTACCATTTCCCGGCATCCCCACCAGAATCTTCACAAGGGTTCTTGAAACTGATCTGAGAGGAGCAGTCTTCATCGGCGAAGACAGAGAAACCGCAGTACGACGGCGTTTTGTAGTGGATCTGAGGAAGAAGATGATGATGAAACGACGACGTAGGGTTGGTGAGGTAGTAACCGACGTTTGCTCTTCTCGCCTGAAGCTGAAGCTTCTTCTTCTTCAACCTCTCCTTCTTGTGAGCATTTTGGTGACCCCCCAAGGCCTGAGAGTTGGCAAACTCTTTGCTGCAATATTGGCACTCGAATCGTTTCCCAGAAAACGACGCCGTGTTGGGAGAGATTGCACTCTCCGCAAACTCCGTTGAACCGTTACCGTTACCGTTGCCGCTATTACCGTTATTGACGCCGGTGAGCTCGAAGCCGAACAGCTTTATCGTCTTATCGGAAGATGATCCGGAGGAGCTCCCGTTCTCGGATTCTCCGGCACGTGACATCTTCGTAGACTATGTAATTAAAAAAAAAAAAGTGATTAAGAATGTTTTAGAAGATGGGTTTTGTTTCGTGGATTTGTGTAATTCTACTCCGGGTCTATATATACAGCAAGATGAAGAGAGGGAGTCTTTTGATTAATTAATTAAGAAAAGGCAATAAAATATTCATGATGAGCAGCATATACATACGCACATTTCCTAGGGTTCCTACCAAAAAAAAAAATCATGGAGAATCTGATATGACGGGAAAAAAGATTCGTAAATTTCTTTGTTTTTCCTCTGAAGATTTAATTTAATAATACATATATAGACACGCAACACACACACACACACACACACATATATATATATATATATATATATATATATATGGGTGCGTGTGCGGGTATTGGACAGAAATTCAATTATGCATTCAAACTTTTATTCCACTTGCTTAATTATTTTTTTCTTAATATAT